GCATAGGATAATCCAAAAGGACACTTATGTATCTAGGCACAGAAACACAAGTCAAATCGTCAGAGGGTTCTGAGTTCTAGTAGAAGAAGAAGAGTTAAGAAGGGTATATTACGACTTAATTAAGGAGTCCTATTTATACTAGACAAATTAGGGTTTCCATTTTCTATATTAGTTAGGAGAATCACGAATTTAACAGAATAATCAGTGGTTACCAAAATTGATAAGATTTATCAATTTTACCACTCGACATGGGCTCTACCCCTTGGACCCCGCTAGGGGCGCTGCCCCTATGACCCCCACAAGGGGGCGCGACCCCTTTGGCCCCTATCTTGTTGTCATATCGGCTTATAATCCAATTTTATATGTGCATGCATTCCACATTCACCAAACACATAATATATAATACAAACGATAAACCCTTTAGCTCACATACTAGTCCCAATTACACAAAATGCCACGTGACACTAAAATCGCCAATAGAAAAATATGTTATTGTTTGAGAGATGAATAAATTTGAGAGGAAAAAATGATGTTAGAAGATTTTATTTATAATAGATGACAAGTAGGTAAAGATTTGAATTTTGGAGGTAAAAAATGTAAAAAATTTATGGAGGAGAGAGATGGATATGGCAAAAAGTTGTTAAGTTGGGTGTTCGAACTCGACATATCAAGCTATTGGCGTGGTGTTGCCCGAATTCACCCCTACTACAATCTAAGCTCTAATGCAAATAATTAAAATATGTTGTTTTTATATTGGTGGTTGTGGGTATTTTAAATTGAAAAGGAAATTTCTTTCTTAAATTTTTTTTTGCTAAATGATTTTAAAATATATAATCTGAAGAAAACTAAACACCTTAATGCCGACATCTTAACCAATTTGGGTACATGGAGCTTTGTTTAAATTTATAGAAATATGTCTTAGACGAACGGTGGTATTTATACAGTTTCTTTACACACACACAAAAAAAAAAAAGAAAAAAAAAAAAAAAAAAAAAAATCATTGAAAATCAACTTTGTGATTTTCATGATTTTTGCAATTTTTCCGCAAGCTAAATTATATATAAAAAAATAATAATATTATTAGTCTTAAGAATAACAAAGACTATACGTATATACCTCTTTTTTATTCCCATTTTCCTAAACAAAAGATTTAATAAAATGGGAAGAAAAAATTGAAGTCCATCGGTTATCATAAATATAGAATAAGGAAAAAAAAAAAAAAAAAGGGAGCTTCATGTGACAATAGCTATTCAATCAGTCGGCTCCAAATGATATTTTAGATTTATTGATTTTCTTTATTTTTAAGAAAAATTGAGGCATTAGAACGTTCCATGTGACCATAATTATTTGTATGATTCGGACATTCCGTCATGTTTCTTTCATATATCTTATTCACCTTTAAATTCCACCTTTAAAATAAAAATTAAAAAAATTATATCTAAAAAACTTGTGTAACAAATACAATACATTATGGAAATTAAAACTAAAAAGAAAGCTTGAATTTTTGTATTTAAAATATAGTAACCTTTAAATATTAAATGAAAAGGCGTTTCCAAAGTATATTAATGTTGCATACTAATATATTATTAATAGTTTGGTAACTACTTTTTGTTATAACAACACATGCAACTTGTGATTGGCATTTTACACCATAAAAAGGGAATACATATATTTCAAAACAATTATCCAATTTCCATATAAACATCTAGTATCAACCATATTAAAAAAAGTTATATTCGTACATTTATAATTTTGTAAACATAAAACGTATAAAACTGTTTCTAGTTCAATTCAATGTCAATAACGAAACAAAACAAAAACGTAAACATCCATTAAAAAAGGTTTCAATTGGTATAGTGATCTTTCTTGTGAAACCCTACCGAATATTTCTTCAATCCAAACAATTTCATTTTGTTTTTTTCTTAACTAAATATCATATAAAATGGAATTTAACATTATATGTACAAAAGTATATAAAACTTCCAAAAAATAATGGCACCACTTGCAAGATTATTAAAATAAGGCAGGTGAAAACTTTAGTAAGTTCAACCCACCCATTATCGGATGATCCATTTTCCATTTCCGGCATCACCCATCCAAGGTCCCGACCCCTACCCACCCCACCTAACCTACCCTACCCCCCCCCCCTCCCCCAAAAGGTTTTGGTTAGGTTACTACCTACAACAAAACCCTCACTGGTCACCACCGTTTTCCCCGTATGTTCAGCGATCCTTTTCAACTTTCCCAAAGCAAAGCATAAACACAGCTCACACACCCTACCCCACCCCACCCCCACCCATATCCCACTTCCAATTAATCTCCATAAATATGCTCAAAACCCCAAATCCAAACACCAAATCTTGACTGGTTCCCATTTATAAAATATTCAAGAAACGCAAATCTTTTTCCCCCTTTTATGACAAAGCAAGAGTTTTTATATCTTTTCATCTCCTTCTGATCTTCAATGTCTGTCCCCATTAACAGATAGATACAGAATATTATATATATACATACATAAATCTATATATATCATTGTTGAGCTTCATATTATAAGAAAGCTCAGTTTTTTCGAGATGGGTTCTTTGAATTTTCAAATGGGTGTTTGCATTTTGGTTCTTTTGATCAGTTTCAGTTGCAATCTTGTGGATTCGCAAACTGAAGCTGTAACTGATGTAGTTGAGGGTATTCTTGTCATTAATGGAAAAAGTTCAATTGCAAAGATTGATAGCGACTTTATTTGTGCGACTATGGATTGGTGGCCACCTGAGAAGTGTGATTATGGCACATGTAGCTGGGGTCATGCTTCCCTCCTCAATGTGGTATGTTTTCTTCTTTTCTGTTTTGAAACTTGTGTGTGTATGTGTGTGTGTGTGTGTTTTGAGGTGCGTTTAGTGTGTGATTTGATGATGTCGCAAATGAATCTACATGGGTTTTTTTTTTTTTTAAGTTAAATTGTTGCCGTTTTGGGCGTTAATTACTATTTATCGATATTTTTTTAGTTTTCGACTTTTCAAGAATGAACAAATTTAGATAAATTTTGGATTTACAGTAAAATTTGTCAAATTTGTTTATGTTTCGAGGTGTTTTTACTTTTTAGTATGTGAATTACTGAAATAACTGAATCTACATGTAATTTTTATAAATTTCACATTGTCGGCGTTTTTTGCATCAATTATTATTACTTGATATTTTTGAGTTTTTGACTTTGCAAGATTGAGCAAATTCAGATAAAAATCGGATTTATATGTGTGTTTTGAGGTGTGTTTAGTGTGTGATTTTATGATATTGCAAGTTGCAACTAAATCTTCATGGGATATTTATAAATTTTAGATTGTTACTGTTCTTCGGCGTCAAATTTCATTTCGTCATATTTTTGAGTCTTTTACTATGCAAGAATCAACCAAATTCAGATAAATTTTGGATTTATACTAGAATTAATTAGCCCAAAATAAAAAACGCTCTTACTATAAGCTTCAGATATTTTTGAGTTTTTTACTCTGCAAGAATCAATCAAATTTAGATATATTTTGGATTCATGTTAAAAGTAATTTGTCCAAAATTAAAGAATCTTTTAGTATTTTGTGAAGAACAGTGATTGATTTGCAATGAAACGACAGTTACAAAAATTCAAAAATTCATATCCTATTTACTATTTACTATTTCATGTTTCTGTTTCGAATTCATAAATTCAATTAACTTCTCGCTATTAATTTCATTTACGGGTTCATTAACAGGATCTAAACAACAAAATTTTTCAGAACGCCATCAAAGGTAACGAAGAACTTACAATTTCTCCATCGACCTCAAAAGTCAAACACATTACTTTCAATTCCAAAATATTAACATAAAAATATATATTTTTTTAACAATTTATGCAGCTTTCTCAACATTAAAGATCAGATTAGGAGGAACTTTACAAGACAAACTTATTTACCAAACAGAATACGATATCCAAAAACCATGCAACCAATTCTCAAAAAACAACTCAATGTTATTCGGTTGGACTAATGGATGCCTACCTTTATCCAGATGGGATCAACTCAACACATTCTTTAAAGACACCGGGTAACCATAAATATCAACAACCCACTTTAACTTTTTTAAAAATCTTTCCATTTATAGCATGTAGTTATATTTAATCAAAAATGTTCATAATTGGTGTTTTATTTACACTTTTAAATTCAGGGCTAATATTATTTTTGGATTAAACGCACTTTCCGGGAAGACAATACAAGCAGATGGTTCAGCTACTGGAGCTTGGGACTCAGCAAATTCTGAATATTTAATGCGTTATACAGTTAAAAAGAATTACACCATGTACGCTTGGGAACTTGGTAAGTTCAATTATTTGTTAAAATTAATGATTTTTTTTATCGAAAATGGTTTTGAATTGTTGAATTTTTTTTTTTATAGGGAATGAGTTGAGTGGAAGTGGAGTTGGAACAAGAGTATCAGCATCTCAATATGCTTTTGACACAAGAACCCTAGCAAACATAGTTCAAGAAATCTATGAAGGTGTTGAGATTAAACCAAGGATAATTGCACCTGGTGGTTTCTTTGATGCTAATTGGTTCAAGGAGTTTGTTGACAAAACACCCGAAATTCTCGACATAATCACTCATCACATATACAATCTTGGCCCAGGTATTCTTTTTTTTAGAAATTTGAAATGAGTAATTTGAATTCCAAGATGTTGAAAACTCAAAAGTTGGAATCTTTTTTGGATTTCCAAACAGGGGTAGATCAACATCTAGTTGAAAAGATATTGGATCCATCTTATCTTGATGGAGAAGCTGATACATTTAGACAACTTGAAAATATTCTCAAGACTTCTGTAACATCTGCTTCTGCTTGGGTTGGTGAAGCTGGTGGTGCTTATAACAGTGGACATAATCTTGTCACAAATGCATTTGTGTTTAGTTTCTGGTAAGTTTTAATCTTTTTTCTATTGGATGCGAAAAAAAAAGACTAAAATACCCTTTTGTGGCTATTGTTGAACAGGTATTTGGATCAGCTAGGGATGTCATCTGTTTATGACACGAAAACGTACTGCAGACAAACATTGATAGGAGGAAACTATGGTTTGCTCAACACTACAACGTTTGAACCGAATCCGGATTACTACAGGTTTGACTTTTGAGGTCAAAATTGTAAAATTAACATCCTTCAAAGATTGTAATTTGATGCGAGTTCTTTCTTAAATCTTAACAGTGCCCTTCTTTGGCATCGGTTGATGGGTAGAAAGGTCCTTTCCACAAATTTTACAGGGAGCAAGAAAATACGATCTTACGCACATTGCGCCAAAGAATCTGTAAGTTTGATACTTTTGAGGATGAAGATGAAAAGGGCATTTACATCTTTTTCACAAAATTACAGTTTTTATGTCATTGAGTGTATAATATAGGGCGATAAACTCAAAGGGTAATAAAGTAATTTCGTATATTGCAGACGGGAATAACGGTTTTACTGATCAATCTAGACAACACAACTACAGTGGATGTAAGTCTGTCTTCATATATGAATTGGAAGAGGGAGCATAAACTAAGATCTCTTGTTCATCATCATCATAATCATCATAAAGCAAACAATCCAAGAAATAATAAGACTGGTGGAATAGAGACAAGAGAAGAATATCATTTAACACCAAAAAATGGGGATTTACATAGTCAAGTAATGAAGCTTAATGGAAAAGAGTTGGAAATAACTTCATCTCAAGAGATTCCACCATTGGAGCCTATATATGTGAACTCTTCAATGCCTATACGTGTTGCTCCTTTTTCTATTGTATTTGCTCATATTCCTCATCTTACTTTCTATGCTTGTAGTAGTAGTGATTAAATGTTATAAACAAATTCACATGAAATGGAACTGAGAATCAGTTCCATTTTTGCTATTGAGTTATAGATTATATTCCACATTTGACACTTTTTTATTGTCTTGATTTATGTTTATGCAAAAGGCTGGTTATCTTTATTCTTTTCTGTTCACTCTTTTAGAGTTTGATTCACATCCATATGGAGATCAAAGTTGTTTAAACTTTTATAACAAAGCAAAAGATTTACAACAAGTTTTATTATAGCTACAAATTCATATAAATACAAGAGAGTTTGGTTAGTAAAAGCTATAGTCACCTTCTATCAAAATTGTTGAAGGGATCCAAGTTAGTTGTGGTCAATAAAGTCAAACTTATGCTTTTCAATCTATCTTCTTGAATGTTTGAGGTTTACTGCTTGCAAATGCTAGCCATACGATTGTACCCGTGAGGTAGAAGAAAATTGAAGGTGCAAAGAGTGACATCTGTACATGGTATTAGAATTTTTTTTTTTTATTAAAATTATAGTTTTATTAAAGAAATGGAAATTAAGGTTTTAATGAAAGTCTTACACTCCATGAATGTGTTGAATCAAGAAGAAATCCAGTGAGAGCAACACCTACAATTCCAGGAACTGCCCCTACTGTATTGGTGATGCCCTGCATGCACAATTCAAAGTTAAGGGTCTAATATGTAATTTGACAACTATTGAGTTTTAACATAAAACTTGAACAAAAATGTCGTTTTTGAGTACAATAAGCAGTTTCAGATAAAAGGAGTTTAGTACAATGTTCTTTTTTTTTTTGCATATATGTTTCCATGGTATGTCTAAAATCGTTATTCTTGTAAACTATAGTGTTCTTTATGCAAAAAAATTAAAATGGGCCCCACAATTTCTAACTTAAAAGGAAGAAACATAGCCTGTGACTATGTCATTTACTACAATTTATGGGTCTCATATTTATTTTTTCACCAATGTCTTGTGAATAAGAACACAAAATGAAGATATTAATTAAATCACACACACACACACACACAAACTCATTTAAAGCAATGGTTGGAATTAACTGAACATACCAAAAGTATGCTTGCATATTCAGGTGAAATATCTTGATGTGTACAATAAAGTCCTGCACCCAAACAAATGACAATATTAAGGCTCTATTTCTTTCTTTTTTTTTCCCTTAAATGTTTTCTCGATAAATGATATATTTTAAAAAACCACAATACACTTGAGGCAATGTAAGAAAAAAAAAAAAAAAAAAAAGACGAATTATTGCAGATTTGTAAATAGTAAAACTTAATGGAAAGTACTTTCTGTGTACTTTACACTTTCTTCAATTCAAAAAGAAACACTCATATACAGATTACCATCTCAATTAAGCCCATTAAGCAAAAAACATCGATTAAGCCAATTAAGTAATAAAAAAAATTAACCTGATAAAGCAAAACTTGATAATGCTAAACCAGCAGTAAGAATAGTAACAACTTCCCATGGAGGCAACCCTAAGTCAACAGATGACAAAATCATACATGCAGCAGGGGATAAAAATGCAATTGTTTGACATATCTTGCGTACCTATAAAAATTATAAATTATAAATTAAAAAAAAAAAATTCTTGTGGGTCCCACGTGCATGAACAATGAACATACCACAGTTGTGTCGACTCCATTGGATATTAAGTTATCTGCAAACTGTGATGCGAAGCTTGTAACAACAACTGAAGCTAGTGGAGGAAGAACAGAAACCTAAATTCAAGAATATGTGTAATCTAATATTATTAGGTCTAAAAAAAAAAGAAAAAAAAAAGATTATGATTTACGGAAATACCCATGCAGCTTCTGTAAGATTCAAGTCCAACTCCTCACTGCATATCATAATCGAACATTTAATGGGGAATGTAATTATTTATAACTTTTTTTATTTTTGGAAAAATTGTAATTATTTATTATAACTATCACCTAAAATAAGTAGGAAGCCAAGACAAACAGCAATAATGACCCCAACTTCCACAAAAATGAGCATATATCATCGCCCATACAGCTTTACTTTGGAAAAACGACTTCCATGGTACCTATATATGAAAAATAATTCAAATTAAGTTTCATAAATTGAAAATTGAAAGTTGCAAAATGAGGAAATTTAGAAAAATAATATTATGTTTCTTACGTTTAGGGAACCACCAAATTCTTCCATTGAAGTTTCCCATGATTTTGCCTTTGGATTTGACTGCGACCCTATAATTTTACACGAGTTCATGACAGATAAAAGGATTTTGGCTTAGGTTTCGACAAATACCCAAAATACCCATAATCCAAAATAAAGAAATGTTCTAGAATTAACCAATGGCATCAGTTACAGGAGGCGATTTCAACCTATTGTGTGGAAAATGTCGATTTGGGTTTATATTACTTTATTTAAAAAATAGGTTTTTGTAATCGTATTTATTACATTAACTATTTGACTAGGGCTATTTATAAAAGTAAAAAACAGATGTTCTTACTTGATAACGATCCAGAGTTGATTGAAGGTTGGTCTTCTGCAACAAATTGAAACCCTAAAAACCTTTAAACACAAAGTTATACATTAAATCAATACCCCAAGTAGACAGAAAGAAGAACACATTATTCAAATAGTATTAATTTGACTACATTTACTTACCACATAATTCCAAACAAGCCAAACATGTAGAATACAGATTCCCATCCAAAAGATTCAATCAAAGGGGGAGCTAAAAGAAGCCTGGAGTTTGTCAATTGGTTAAAAAAATGTTTTTTATATAACAAAATGACATACATTTATGCTTGTTTTAAAAATAAAGTAACATATTACATACCCTAAGACACTTCCAACACTTAAACCACCAAATACAAATGAGACAGCTCTTGAACGTTCTTCCAATGGAATTAATCTGCAATAAAAAGTCAAAGGAATCACCAAATTAACAAATTGGTCAATGAAGTTAACTGAAGAAATGGGACCCACGTTCATGTATATCTTTTAATCACATAATCACATACCTAGCAATCAAATCTGTGGCAGCTGAAGGTGATACTCCCTCTCCAATTCCAACCTGAGAATTTATGGGAATTAAAAAAACACAAATATTTGTAGAAATTAGGAAATTGGTAAGATTTCTTTTGAAAGCATACAAGAATCCTTGAAAAAACAAGCCCAGGCATAAATCCAGCAACAACAGGAACCAGAGCTGTGGCAAGTGACCATGTCAAAACGCCAAATTGAAGAACAATCCTGCATCATGATTCATGAAGCAGCAATGGTGAATGGAAGATGAGGTATTATTGATCATATTCATATGATCGTTAATTAAAGTGCACAAATGTTCGATTAAAGACTAACCTCCCACCAAATATTTTTGAAAGCCAACCACCGGGTAACTGACTCAAAGCGTACCCCCAAAAGAATGATGATTGCACTAATCCTGCAACCGATGAACTCCATCCAAACTGATGCGACATTGGGATAATGGCTATACTCAAGTTTACCTACAAGAAATTCAGTTTTAGGGTTCAGTTATGGAAAATTAGTAATTTCTTCGTACAGGATCGCAAATGATCATGAGCAAAAAGAAAACTGAAACTGGAAATACGAAAAATCGAGATTACCTTATCCATGTTACAAATAACAAAAGCAAGTGAGGTGGTGCCAATGAGTTTATATCTTTGAGGAACATTCTTCCAAGGAGGCCAACTCAAGTTTTCCAGCCCTAATTTCTCAATCCCAATTCCAGGTTTCTCCCCTAATTCATCATCAACTTTCAG